TTTTTTCTGCATCAATTTGTTGTAAATGTCTTTAATTTTGTCAAAGTAAAAATACTGTGCTACTTCCATGTTTCTATTGGGAAGGGGAACAAATGTTCTAAATATTGAGGGGGATGTGTCCCCTGGGTCCCCCCAAAACATACACTTATGCATGAAGAGAACATATTAAAATTATGAACAAACATGGTGTTTTGTCCTGCCTATGGTAGGGGTATCTTAAAAAGTAAAGCCCTTTTGGGGATTTGTGCCCATCTATTTCATGAAGGCAAAGACCTAGGTTTCATTTTAACATTGTGGGGGCCACATATGAAATGTGGGGGTTGGGGGCCTTCAGCTAGAACATTTTGAACAACAAACACTGAATTTACTGCAGTTTTTTTTTATAGATATTTTGTATGTAAATGTCTAATTCTGTCAAAGTACTGTGCTACTTTCATGCTTTTATTGGGAAGGGGAACAAATGTTCTAAATATTGAGGGGGACACGTCCCCTGGGTCCCCCATGAAATCTACACCTATGAAAGGAACATAAGATTGGGGGGGCACATGTGAAACGTGAGGGGTTGGGGGGCCCTCTGCTAGAACATTTTGAACGACAAACATTTAATTTTGTGCATTTTTTTTGCAAAGTCCTCTGCTAATTTCACGTTTTTATTGGGAGGGGGAACAAATGCACATGTTCTAAATATTGAGGGGGGCGTGTCGCCTCGGTGGGGGGACATGTAGGCTACACCTATGCATGAAGGGAATTTATGAAAAACAACATGGTGTTCTGTTTTACCTCGGGTAGGCCCTTTAAGGATTTGTGCCTGTACTGACTGTACCCCCCACCTTTGAAATCAATAACCCATTTGGTTAAAACTGCCTCTGTTTTACAGTTCCGACGCATGGCAACACTGAGTTAAGAAGTTTCCGCAACGCCAGCGCCATCGCTGCACTACAGGACGAGGCACAGCTCACTCTCAACAGTTACATACACACCAGGTAACAGTCAGCTCTATCAGTCTATCTGTCCATCCATCTATCTATTCATCTGTAAGCTCATGCATGTGTCACAGCCATGTTGATCCGTCTCGTCCAGGTAACTATTAGCAGGCAGATTCATTATAAAGTTAATGAGGCAATAAGCCACTGCTGTAATTGTGCACAGGTGTCTCAGCTGAACCTCGTTGTTAATTAGCAGCTATTTGTACCACAGGTGTGCGTTAATTGGACACGCTGCTGTCAGACATTGTGCACAGAGAGCCAGGGAGAGCCAGAGGATGTGTTTGACCCCAGTGATGTGTTTCAGGTACCCGACTCAGCCGTGTCGCTTCGGGAAGCTGCTCCTGCTCCTGCCTGCGCTGCGCTCCGTGGGCCCGTCCACCATAGAGGAGGTGTTCTTCAAGAAAACCATCGGCAACGTGCCCATCACCAGGCTCCTTTCCGACATGTACAAGTCCAGCGATATATGAATCCCCCCCCCCCAATCTGGAAGAGACTTGAGCTGAAAGGCCCAGAGACCCACCCAGCAGTCGACAGAATGTCAAATCATAGCAGGTGTAACCGTGGGTTGAATTTTCGCTGAGCACAAAAATCTCTTAGGCTGTCTTAAAATAGCCTGTTTAGGCCTCTTGGCTCCTTTGAAACAAAGACTGCAACACAGCCGGAACTCACCAAGTAGCCTGTTAACAGTCGCTCTAGTTAAGGATTAGCCTGTAACTTTCATTCTAGATTTACCTGTGATACTGAAAACCCTGCAGTCTCTGGTGTGGGCACAGGAAACCCACAGTGTTTAAATACCGCCTACAGACTCCGGAGAGCACGTGCCAAGTATGTCTGACAAAGAAATGTTATATATTCACAAGTTTTTTGAGTGTCTGTGAGACCAATGAGCTTGACGACCAATTCAGTCTTTTACTGCTGTGATCAATCCCAATGGAGGAAACCAAAAGAAAAAACATGACGCATGCGTAATGGGGGATGTGAATCGCTGTCCCTCGATCCGGTGCTGAAACCAAACGCACGGGGCAAAGAGAGAAGAAGAGGTGCCAACTCAATGAAGGAAAAGACTTTTAAAGGACATGCTTGCGTTGCCTCCTGACTGTACATTCATCTGAAGATGGTGTTTGTATTTAAGTGGTTACTGTCCTGTTTGTGTTGGTGTGTCCTGTTTGAGGCTGTTCTAGGTCGACTTTTGTGAAGTTAGGCACTAACACTGGATAAAATGATATTCAGCACTTGGAAAAATGTTTTTGTGGCCTGTGATGTTTTTATTCTATTGTACATATTTGGAGTTATGACTATTTAGAGTGGTGACCGAGAGAATAAAAGACACTGAATTAAACTGCCTTCGAAAAACTACCAGATGCTCTTCCAAGATCTCAATAAGTTAAAAAAAAAAGTTTTATAATAAGGGCACAAAACACATGCATAAGTGCATAAACCTTAAATTGACAGCTTGGGCCATTGTTTGCTTAAATCACTTAAGTCAACAGGCCCATATGTGGGACAGGCGTCTATAAGGGACAGGCCTTTAATTCCTTTTACATAAAGCTGTTTCTCAGCAAAAATAGGAAACATGATCAAATTGTTTATTTAAACCAGTATGAATATTACTTGTATAAAAATTAGGCTTCAGATAATGTATCAGTTATGAATCATTCATTTGATCAAGCTCCAACAGACAACGCATCAGGATTACAGCACCCAGCATACCGACACAACACAACTTTATCCTGTTAAAACAATACTCACAACTTGGATTAATTTTGAGGAAAACACCCCCTTGGTTATTTTAATCTGAGGACCCTTACAGACTAAATGAATATGAATAACTTATAGGGTAACAGAGGAATGGACATATAATTTGAGGTGGCCAGCAACCTACTTTTATACATCAGAAGAACTTCATAAAAAATTAACGGCTTGGCAATCAGACCAGGCCTCTAATTGAGACAGGCTTTTATTTGTCAAAATGTGTAGCTACACCAGGCTAGTAAAAGTGACTGGGTGTTTTATTGGGACTAGGCTTTTAATTGAAGTTTTACAGTAATGACTAACTAATGTAAGACTGATTTATAAGCGCTTTATAAATTAATAATTCATTGATTGCTCATTTATCATTAGTTGATACATTAATTTATATAAAACCAAATTAGCTGGAATGCAGTTAATCTAAAAAAGGACATTTTAGATTGATGCATTTGATCAGCCGCTCTGTTCTCACTGAAATATGAAGCAGTTTTCTATCAAACTGGTTGTCAGCTGCAAACATTTACACGTTGTTGCTTCATGACCCAACAGTCAGCTTTGAGCGTAAATGAGACACATTAATTGTCGACCACATTTCTTACAAGTTACCTGGCTGGCATGTGTCCCATTAAGCAAAAACATTTTATGATACTAATTTGCAAATGAATATTAATGTACATTCACTTTAAGTATGAGTATGAAGAGGAACTGAACAAGTACTATATGCTTATCAGATCGGATTTGGCTGCATATCATCATATATCATAATCTCATAAAGTCTGACTTAATAATCACGATACATCCTGCATTACATGATCAAGAATCATAGATTTGTTAAGGATTACTCAAGCATGTGTTTTGCACCCTTATTACAAAGTGTTTTTCCTTTAGAAGTAGCCTAATCTATTCTTAATGAGAACTCGGGAATATCCTCCTGAGACCCTGTGTCCTCATATGAGGACATCACATTTGGGTTTACTTGACCTTATACTTCATTCTACTTAATTTAGACCTGCTGTACTCGTTTGTGGACACTTTTTTGTGCAATCTAGTCGTACTAAGAGCACAATACACTAATCTATGTAAAACAAGATGGCAGCCATCTTCGCCAAGTTAGTCTGCAGCTGATCCTGACACAAAAGCGGACAAGGTCCAAAATCTGATCACATTTTATGGTTCAGACTTGTTTATTATACTGTTGTCCCAGTTGAGGACACTGGGACTTAATTAGTGTTGACAATGTTTATTTTTTATACTTATCGGGTCCTACCGATCCCAAATAGCTAGGAGAAATTAAAAATGCATGCCAAGCAGAAGTTCGGATCTCAGGAGGATATTTTAAAGGTCCAGTGTGTAGAATTTAGTGGCATCTAGTGGTGAGGTTGTAGAACTGCGACTTCTCTCAAGGGTCAGCTGTGTAGAAGAACTTTGATAGCTGACGCAAAAATGCAAAAACATAAAAAAAATGGAAATGGCCCTGTCTAGAGCCAGTGTTTGGCTTGTCTTGTTCTGGGGTACTGTAGAACAACATGGCGGACTCTGTGGGAGAGGAACCGCTCAATATGTAGATACAGACAGCTCATTCTAATGCTCAGTTTAGACCAAAGAGTCGCAACAAGACGAAACAACGTTGCAGAGAAAAGTTGCAGCGGTGTGAACTGGATTGTCTCAATTAGACTCAAGCCAGCTGATGGTGTCACCTGACACTCAGCTCTTCAAGTCGCCAGCTGCTGGTTTTATGACGAAAGGCACATCAACTGTTCTTGCAGCCAATCGGCTTGTAGCAGAGTCCACTGGGAAAGTGCAGAAGGCGTGTTCGATCACCCTCCGTTCCTGCTGAGTCTAAGTCTGTCTTATTTACATCCTTGCAGCCGAAGTACCGAGAGTTGTTGCTATGGAGATGATACACTGTATTATGTGGTCGCATTGGTATGAACTGGCAGATTTTCAGAACATTGCAAACCTGCTCTTTGTTGATGTTGCGAATCTTTGGTCTGAACTGGACTTAGGATAACAAAAATACAATTCTTGTTTTCAGGTGATTATAAACTAATGAAAACACAGGTATGAATATTATAAATCCTTTCTGAAAACAGACGCCCCTAAATCCTACACACTGTACCTTTAATGAACTCTTTTAAATCAGCCATAGGCCTAAACTTCTTTGTAATGAAGATGGTGGATGACTTACTTATCGCAGCAGCTTGCAGTAGTGGACTATCCAGTGTGGAGTGTTAGACAGGTCAACAGTCCAAATCAACAGATGTATTTATGCGTGGAGACATTTCACCTATTTTATTGGAAAATCTTCAAAATAAACAAAAATGGCACAGCAGTATACAAATCTCAAAATGCATATAGCCAGTAGAAATACTGCAGTTCCCTCTGTGTAAATTACTTCTGTCTTACTAGAAAATCATCGTGATAACTGGGCAGGTGCTGGTCGATGCACACACGTGCTTCCTTTTGAAGAGAGGATCAACTAAGTGTGATTTGAAAGTTGAGGCCCATCAAATATATATATATATATGTGTGTATGTGTGTGTGTTTAGTTGCTAGGTATCGTGCGCAACATGCCAGTACTGGATATATAGTATATAATGGGAAACGCTGTGGGTCTTTACAAGAGCTTTGCATACATAGAACGCTCATTCAATGTTGCTATATAAATGAATATATTCAAGACATAGCTAAATGATAAATACATAATATATCCATGTTAGTGGCATTTCCAGACATAAAGAGAAATTACTATAAATTACTTTCAACCACATTTATGTGTCCAACATTCTTGACTCCAATTAGAAAGTGAAAACAAACACCGATCAGGGTCACTAATTAAACTAAAAGAGGCAGTGAACAATAATATTTGGGGGGGGGGGGGGGGGGGGGGGGGGGGGGGGGGGGGGGGGCACGGGGAGGGGAAGTTGTCATTGAAATGTTTATTGTCTGAGAGAAACCTGGAGCAGTGAAGAGAGCTTTGGGTTGTCGGGCCAAGCAAGGCTGAGCCAAGCCAGGCCGAGCAGAGCTGTGTTTTCTTTCAGGCTTGTCTGATTTTGGATGGGGTGTAGTTCTTGTCCACAAACTCGTCCTGTAGGAACATGTGCAGGCATCGTTCGTTCTGAGCTAGAGGGTGACCTGCCACTCTGAAACACAAGAGCAGAAGGCAGGCTTCAAACATCAGTGGCTGTGTTAACTGATGAGGCCCGGTGATACAGGGACACATGGTTGGACAGAACAGACAGAGATTGACAGGAGCATTGGACTTTAAGGTAGGAAATATGGGAAACATTTTCTGAAGAAAAAAAATGTTAGGTATCAGTCATATAATCGCTTGCATAAAAAGCAAAAGAATTTAAAAGATATGTAAAAAATGACACTACTGTACCCTCACATCCTTAAAAAAAGACAGAAACTGTAGCCTTTTTTGTGTGGCATTTTTGCCTTTATTTTATAGTTGACAGAGTAGATATATGCTGCATCTTGATTCCATACTGAATACCTGAGATGTGGTTTTGAGTCACATGACTTAAGTCAGACTTGAGTCAAAATTTGATGACTTTAGATTTGACAAAATCAAAAAGGACTTGCTCATTGACTTGGAATTTCACACGAATTACTTGTGACAAGGGCTGGGTAATGTTCAAAAAATTATCATACCAATACCAGTACCAGTACCCTGTATGTAATACCGATACCAATAGTGTGAGTGGATTGGCATGTTGTACAACATTAATTTCAAACGTTTTGGATTGAACTGCTAACTCCGTCAATTACACCACGCTCAACTTCACCAAACCCCTGCCTCAAAAGGATCAACATTTGACTGAAGAGGTTTTGATACTACGTGGTATTGGGTTACTTTGGCTGATACCTTAAAAGGTATTGAGTACCAATACCCAGCGCTACCCTTGACTTTACTTGCATTTTGACTTGAAAATACTTGTACGTTTCCCCAGGCCAAAAGATTAAAAAATGTTATTCAAAATGGTTTCATGGATCGATTTATTTCCCTCCATTTCCTAAAATAAACTAACATTAACGCTATTTGTTTCCAGCAAGTTGACACTGAAGTCCTCAAATCCATTTTCTTTAAACCAATCCAAGCATCCAATCAAGTTGCAAGAGAGAACCATGAAGAAGTAATGTCATGTTACTGAGCGCCAGTTAGAAAAATGTTAGCAAAGATTGAGTGATAATACATTCCCATTCCCACAAACACTCTGCCATGGGCAACAAAAAAACGAGCTGGTCGAAAATAAGAGGGAGACACAACAACTTCTGACAAGCATGTTTTAACACAAAAAAACTAATTTTAAAAAGCACTTATGATTTTTTTTAAAAAAAATCAAAATCTTTTACATAATATTACTCTGTTGTTAAAATGGCTTTACATGCTGTAAAGAGCGCATTAGGACTTGTTTCGGACACTAAACCCAAAGTGTAGGACTTAGGTTCTCAGTCTTGACTTGGGACGTGACTTGGAACTTGAGCGCAAAGACTTAGGACTTATTTGTGACTTTCAAATCAATGACTTTGTCCCATCTCTACTATATACCAATGACAATACCACAATTAGCTTTAATTTACACCATTTCCTTTGTGCAAGGCACTGTGGGAGAATAGTATCACATTAACAAATAAAACAGTTTGAGGAATCTTTTTAGCCTCTGGGTTTCAAGTCAACCATGAAATGCAACATTTCCTGTTGGGGGACCCTTGGTGCATGTCATTCCCCATCCTTCAGTCTTCTCATTTCCTGTCCTCTCTCTACTGTCTCTTTAATAGAAGGCACAAACTGCTGAACACCACAAAATCAAAACTTGCTGAGACTTAGTGTAGTATGGGTTTGGGATCCAACTATAGATAGACCAAAAAAGGTCTCTGGTTGGACCGGGGATGTTACAATTACATGGTATCCATCTTAACCACAAGGCTGCAATGACACTCAAAAAATCTTAAAAAGTTAACGGTGATCAAGATAAAAATCTGCCTGCATGATGTTCCGAACCATTGTGTCACTGATAAAGCTGATGAGGATTAATGACATTTTGAACACCCTGACCATGTATACTGACTAGCAGCACAGGGACGACTGTAGATTTTAATCATCAAAGACAGATTTACTGAGCATTTTATATAACTATTGCACACACTGGTTATGGATGTGTGGTTGTGTTCACATGCCTAACTTCTACAACCAGTAAATGATGCACAATGCAACTGCACTACCATATGAAAGCACAGTTTGGGGGAAGAGGTGATTAAGTTTCGTTAAAACAACACAACTTTAGGTAAACCAGTTTTTTAGAGCCTTGGTGAATGTGTTTTGATTATCCTATGATTCACTTAAATTAATCTGTATGTTAGCAACACATCTAGAAACAAGTTAGATTTAAGAGGTTTGTTTTTTCTTCTTTAATGCCACTTTTACAAAAAAACAAAATTGAAGAACAAAGACATGAATTACAAAGGTTTAGGGATAATTTTGCCTAAATATTTATAGTAACATCCAAGCTTACTGAAGACATGGGAGAATAAACAGAAGTGGGTGGCGATTTAATGTTTCTCATTCTGCATGTGGGACTTCACTGCCTTGACTTCCATTGTGCAAAGTTTGAAAATTTTCTTTGCAAAAAATACACCAAGCTTCGTTTGCATTGCCTTGTGCGAAATCTTGGTTAAATGGCCAATTTTTATTGCTCTTCTGCATGTCGTCCAGGGCACAGTGACAGCTAGCCAACAGACAGTGGATCCTCTGCTCTGAGCATCTGTTTAGGAAACAAAATATAAGTGTCGCTGGTTCCGCTTTCCTGATCTGTGTGACGTTAAAGCAAGGGGCATTCAGGACATTATTTTTTTGTTTTCCTTTGGTAAAGCCACTTTGACATCAAACATCCCAAAATGTCCCTTCAGATGATGCAAACGGAGCTTAACGAGAATGAGCCGGTGCACCTGAGACCCCAAAAACATCCCATTTTTAAAACGGTATATTACTCAGACCAGATCAACATGATGACATTGTACCTATGCATGCATCTTAACCTCTAATGGGAAATATTTCAGACAAATTAAGTGGCCCGTGGGAGGCATTCACAAGTCAAATACCAGGGCAATCACTGGAGAGATCATGCCTGCCCTCCCCCAAAAACTCTGCTTAATAGGTTCCGGAAATTGAGATGCTGACATTGAGGACAAGGTGCAGCTGAAGCATGGAGAAATGTCATGGCCTTGCTTGCTTTGTGAAGTGGGGATGCAAGCCCTTCTTCTTTACCTGAAGTATGAATTATGTTTGACTAGCCTAATCAAAACTGACGGTTATCTCCTCTCCTCCCGCTCACTTGTTTCACAGCGACAACCATGTTTACCATTCCAAGAGATTTCCTCTTCACAATGCTCTCAATCACAGATTAAACAATGCTGCCAGCCACATCGGCCAGTATCAAGTCTGAACAATGATATGATCAACAGCAGTGTTTCATTCATACGAAGCAAAGTGGGGAGAAAAATCTTAATTACTAACGAATTCTCATCTTCTTTAAAAAAACATATTTATGGATTTTAATTTTCTCAACTGTCTTAGCGCACTTAATATTCCGAAAGGAAACATTGATGCATTTGCACATGAAACAAAGATAATGGCCAAGTCTGCAATCAAAGCAAATAATTACAATCACACTGTAACTTTTATTGTTCCGCAGCTGAAAATGAGGACATGCTGGATCAAAAATAAGCAGAGGTGCACACACCATCCCACGGAACCACGCGCTGTAATTTGAGCTGCAATTATCATAAATTACACATCAACAATAAAACAAATGTGGGAAAAATTATGTTGTGGGGGTGCACACTTGAGTCCTCTTTTGGTTGTTCTTGTCCTTTGCGAAGTAATTATAAAAGAGAATTAAGGAAGATAGTGAGGAAAGAGACCTGTCTGTCTCTACGGGTTCAGTTTGTTAACAATATGAAGAGAAGTGAAAAAGTTGAATCTACTTATTGCACAAAGTGTTTCATTGTTCTTGAGAGTTAAAATGATACCGCGCTCGGGAAGGAGCTGCAAGCGACTGTGACGACAAAAACAAAATTGTAAAGAATAAATTGTTTTAACCTCGTGGAACAGAGGAAGACAAGGAAGATAAGGAAAGGCTTACTTGTTGAGAAACTGCTCCAGAGCCTGTCTCCGCTCCTCAATGAAAGAGTCATCAAATATCCCATCATCCCCTCGAAACGGAAGCTGCCGGAAAAGAGCTTTTCCCGGGAGAGGTGGGACAACCACCTGAGATAAAAGAGCATCCACAGAAATCATACAGCAGCAATTAAATATGCATAAATAACATATCAATGAGGATTTAAGTGCTTCAATTTTAAAAAAAGTAAAACGTTTTGTGTGTGTGTTTTTTTTTAAAGACAGCTCACTAAACAATGATCCTGTAGTGATAATGTGTACAGTATCATGTGGTAAGAACATTTTTTTAATGACATTTCTGAGGCTAAAAACATAATTTATGGTCTTCATTAATGGCAGGACAAATCTTCACAAATCGCAAAGGTTCAAAAGGAAACAACAACTTTCTCTCCCGCACAAAAACATGGCAGATGTTGCTGTGTGCTGATTTGAAAAGCCAAGTACTCAAGAACCTTTTTGTTGAGTTCACCTCAGTGGCTCACCTTGCTCTCCCTCTCCAGCTCCGTTCTGAGCCACTCAAAGTCGCTGTACCGCCTCCGTACGCAAGACTCCTTCAGCTTGAAGATGGGAAGGTTGGTCTGTAGATACACACACACACACACACACACACACACACACACACAGAGGCAGGTGGCAAACTCTTAAATGTGTCACTTTTTACTGAGGAAATTTCCTTAAAGGGGCTCTATACAATATTCAGGACATGTCTATTATCCAGAGGTCTGCACACGGCTCTCAACATGGAGGTGGCTGAGGTAGCAGTGCCAACAACGGCAACAGTGCTGACAGAGCTAACAGTGTTAACCTGGGGAGGGACTGAGGGTGAGTGCTATGCTTCAGCGATGACACTGTCCCGATATCAGCAGTAACCACCATATGAGCGCAGTGCAGTGCAGAGCGGCAGCAATTAGTCAGCCAGTGGGATACACACACAGGACTCATATTCAGTAACATGCATGTCTGGCCAGACCGTCTACCACTGCAACTAACAAAGAAACTTGGATAACAGCTCAGAGGTGGCTTGACTTCATTCTCTGCTCAGGACACTATAACGTCACTATATTTTTTACAAAGCAAATAGTTGTTTGCTGATATATTAATGTTCCGAATATTGTTTAGAGCCCCTTTAAACAGGTGAAACAACTGAGACTGTCTTCATTTTTTTGAACCCACGTTCAGCCAGAACTTTAAATCCCTGTCAGAAATAACTGTTAATAAATAATCAATCTATTATTTTCTTTGATTAATTTATTAGTCTGTAAAATTGATTCTTTGAAGTCTCAGTTGAACCTTATTGGTGGTTATTAGCCCACTAATTACATTACCTAAAACAAACAACAGACGGTGTTTGGTATAAATGTGATAATGCATGCCAGTGTGTTCCACTATGAAATAATGGAGCCAGCCCTCCAATGGGAAGCAGCAACTAATGGCCATTCTCTATCAATTGTTTTCTCAATTTATGGATTAATCGTTGCAGTCCATAAAATGTTAGGAAAAAGTGCCCATCACAATTTCCTTGCGGCCAAGGTTATGTCTTCGAATTGCTTGAACAAAGACTATTAAGTTTACTCAACATCACAACAAGCTGGAAATTGGAAAGTGATGTTTGTCATATTTGCGAGAAAAGAATGACTGACAAAATAATTACTGATGAATTTTGAGTAAACGTCATATTTTTTGTTTTTAACCTGCTGAGCTAAAACCGGTCTAACAAAACAAGCACTTTGAAGACATAACCTTGGCTGCAAAGAAATAGTGAGAAGCACTATTTGCTAACACTTTATGGACTACAATGGATAGAGAATGGTCATTAGTTGACGCTTCCCATTGGAGAACTGGCTCCATTATTTCAGGCATACTGGAACACACTGGCATGCATTATCACATTTATACCAAACACAGTCTTCTGTTAAAAGGAAGCTTGTTTAAGGTGATGTAATTAGTGGGCTAATAGCCACCAATAAGATTCACCTGAGACTTGAGACTGGTAATGTCCCAGTATTAAAGATGCGTAATAATATCGGCACATCATTGGTACTGGCCAACATTGGCTTTAAAATGAAATATCGGAATCGGCCAACATGCTGATAATATTGGCACATCACTGGCATCGGTCAATATCGGCTTTAAAATGAACTACTAGAAATGTCAAACATGCTTTTTCTTATTTCTTATATGATGTTAATTCCACTACCAAAGAAACTTCATTATCAATAAACTTAGATGGGGAAAAATTGGATACATCGATATCATTTTCAGTTATCGACCAAATAATTTGTTATCAGCATATCGGATATTGGCAAAAAATCTACCTTCTTGCATCCCTACTCAGTATTGTTGCTATGGTTACATGAGGGTTAAAAACCTTGAAGACTTAACACAGTGCTTAAAAAGTTAAAATAAACCATTTTTTTGAGATACCCCAATATAGCCTCTTAACAGGCAACCATCAACCAATCAAGGGTTGCACTTCCTGTGGGAATGAGTATAAACAGCAGAAAATTATCATAAGAAAATGGTAAGGAGAGATTGTACTAACTTCAGGAAAAAGACAGAGTGACGGGCTTTACTGCAGTGGGTCTGGGCATAGCCTTGTGTCATCTACTCTGACTTTAATAAAGGGGAAAAAGGAGGAGCAAAAAAAACAAAGACTTGTTCAAATTGAACCGAACTGAATAGAAAAATTGAAAGTTCACTCATGTTTTGCTCACCAAGGTCTATCGCACTCAGAATGTTTTGCCATTTTTGTGTGTGTTCTTGTACGCCAATACGCAGATGTGTGCATAATTCTAAGTTGCTGTTGACAAGCACTTGAAAGTGAATTTCATATTAAAAAGGGGAGATGTTTCGACATTGACAGAGAACATTGAGCAAACAGCACATTACAGCACAATGCCAAACCTCTTCACTAGTCCTGACAGCACATGGCCATCCCGTGACAATGTACAAACAAGGAGCGAGTGAATGAGTATTTCATTGGCAGGCCACATTCACAGAAGGTCAGAATTCATGGAAGGAGGAATCACAAGAGCAAAGCAATTGAGCAAGTAGGTGCAGCATGAATACAGTGTGAGCAGCAGACTGATCGATGAGCAGACGACTGTGACTGTGTGCAGTAAAGGGGATGGAGAGTTAACTAGAAGGCTGAGTAAATGGCTGAACAAAAGAGAAAGGAGGGGGCGTTCGTGGTCATAAAGGAAGAGCAGAAAAACCGGAGGGGTTGGGAGCTTCATCTGGTCTGTGCAGGACTAAATGAGGAGGAAGGAGAGAAGGAGTGGTCTTTTCGCTCTCATGGTCTCTCCCTTTCAGTCTTTTTCCTCTTTATTTGCCTCGCTCTACGATACTAAGTCAGATTTTCTGCCCTTGAGACTCCTCTTGTGGTGTTTCAATGGGGAAAATGCAGGCATTCGTTTTCTACCCTCTTTGCTCTGTCCTCTCCTCGGTCAAAATTATGGATCCTGGATTTGGTTAGAAAGAGCAAACTCATTTGATAAAATATTTATAATAAAAAGCAAGAGCTGAAAAATGTTACCTGGCAAAATTGTTTAAAGAGAATCCTGGTTTATGTCACAGTAAACACTCAGTTGCCAGTTTATTAGATACACATAACTAAAACTAACGCAGTGTTATACAACAGTCCTGCAATACATATAATTTGAAAGATGTAGTTTGTGATGCTGTTAAACTGTAGGTGTTTTCTAATATTTTGTGCACCCCATTATATTACCAAGGGGAGTCTAAACAACAGAAACACGCCTCTGGCACCACAAACTACATCCTACTACTTTTATTATAACCTCCATGAAGGTAGGATTTATTTGCCCAGGTCCAGACCTTTGTATCAAACCACTCCACTGAGTTGACTAATTCATCTGGTATTGCTACATGAAACAGCGTTTTTCAGTTAAAATAAAAATCGATGAATAAAAATCGTTACACTCTAGACAAACAATTAGCCATTCTGCATCACAGGCGATACTAGTTAAGTTTTTAAACGTTGCAAAGCACACGCCGGAATCAATGAAGAGTAATAACAACAACGGCGAGCACTATAAACAAGATAGACGCTACTATCAATGCTGTTTTGACTCAGCATGTCTTCTCAATATCGCCCACCTTCATAATTTGTTTAATTTCGCCCCACACCACTTTTAAAACCTCTGCAAAACCAGTATCTTGGCATTTAAAATGACATTAGATTCAGGTGGTACGTTGGTCTATAGTGACTGGTTGGGAAAAATCAAATCTCCCACAAATATCGGTTAATGTGGATGCAATGTCAGACTGAAGATGGAAACAGAATTTAACGAGTTCACAATTCTGTCTGATATCAGGCAAAAGATTTATTGCAGGACTGTTGTATTAGACTGCATTAGTTTTAACGAGATGTACCTAATTAACTGGCAACAATAATTTTACTTGTTTTAGATGTTTGTAACCCACCTCTCCACTATTCCGAGTTTTGATAGTTTGATCATTTATGTCCAGAAGGTTGTGGGGTAGCCGACAGTCCAATAGAAAATACAAAGTGAGAAAAGTGTGTGACAATTTTGTGATTTACACATTGTGATTAATGCATTTTTGCACAAGCACTATTATGCTAGGCTCAGATTACAAGATACTGGAAAGAAAATCTGGTATCTGTGAGCAGTTTATGGATAAGAATTGTGTGTTATGTCCTACTTGTTATGTAATGGTGTTTGTTTTAAAGGGACAGTTCACCCAAAATAAAAAAACAAACATTTTTTCACTAATTTGTAGGACTATTTATCAGTCTAGATCATTTTGGTGTGAGTTGCCCAATGTTGGAGATATCGACCGTAGAGATGTCTGCCTTCTCTCCAATTAAATTGCACTAAATGACACTCGGCTTTTGGTCCTCAAAGCGCCAACAAAGTACATTTAAAAAACTCAACAACAATTTCTCTTTATAGAAATCATGACCCAATTGCTCAAGATAAACCACAGACCTTGTTGTGAGCAGTTTAACGTAGGAACTATTTCCTTTCTACCAGACTACACCTGGAAACTGTATCACTGTGCAGAAGAAAGTGTGCACCTACTCATGGATGAGAGGCTTGTGCTTGTGACAGCATGAGATTTAAACATTAATGGTGTTTTTCTCAGCCAAGCGGTAAGGTTAGCTAGTTCAGTGGTGCTAAATAAGCTAGCGGTGGAGGCACACTTCCTTCTGCGCAGTGATGCGGTTAGTGGGTGTAATTCTGTAAAATGAAAATAGTTCTAGGGCTGAACGATATGGAGAAAATTTTATATCTCGATATTTATGCCAGATATCTCGATACGATACGATATGACTATGGGTTCAGTGAAAACTAAGCATTCTTTATAAAAAACAAAACAAAACAAAACAAAACAAAAAACGAGTCCAAACCATTTTCTGGAAGCCCTCTTTAGTGACTGAATACACGGGAATCATGTGTAGCAATATGGTAAGTTATAGCGTTTGTAATGTCTTTGTACCTGCTGGACGTAGATTGGTATAGCATTATGCTACTGAATGCATCGGCAATCCGACCTTGCTTGGGCTTGACACAGGAGGCCCCAGATGTCCCTG